GGGGGGGGGAGAAGCGACGTAGGGGGGGACAGGAACAGAACTGGCCGAAGTGTAGTGTGTGCTTGACGACCTGAAGGCATTCGGGGCTGACCATTGACCTACGAAAACCGATCCATGCTGTCTCGGAATCCCGGTACCAAAAGACACGGCCCCGAGGTTAAGTGAACGGAAGCCGCGAAGGTGGAGGGGGGAGTACCCTGGCATGCGGCGGTGCTGCAGGGAGCTGAGAGGTTCATGACCTGGCACGAGAAGGAAGAAGAGGCCAGCCGACAACGGGCGCTCAAACGAAACCACAAGCCAACAATCAATGGGGGGCGGGAGGGGGGCAGGGAGACGGACGAGGCGGCGAGGGAAGAACGCAAACGAGAAGAGACGGACCGAGTGGCGCGATACGTGCCGGATAGAAGTTCTTTTAGCCAATTCCCCCCCCCCCCAACGCTGCACCATTGCACCAACCCCCCACTAGTAATGACGTACCATTACAATGTATCGCTGGTTGGTGGCCATGTTTGCGTGTTTGCTTGTTCGTTAGTGGTCTCTCCACCGTGTGCCTTTTTCTATCTCATATTTCTTGTCATTTTCGGCCTGGTCCCTTTTTGTCCTCGCTCTCTTCCATTTTGTTTTGCTTTCCTTACTGTTTCCTTTTATTTTCTTCTCTTTTTCTCTTTTCCTCTCTTGTTCTGTGCCAGATGGCCGTGTCTCTGTTTGCGTTGTGACGTACCATGATTGAACCAAGGGGGTGTATCTCTTTCTCTCCGGCCCGTGATGGTGACTCCTAGTCTCAGTTGATACCTCGCATAGCGCGCAGAGGGAGTGGAGGACTCCAGAACATCTGTCGTTGATTTCTATTGACTTGCGGGCCCCTCGGGGCCAGTTTATGTGCGTGACTCTTTTCAGGGTGTTCCACGCCAGGAGTTCGGCGGCCACTCCCGACCGGGTGTTGGGCAGCCACATCAAGGGAGAGCCGCCATCAAACACGCCGTACACTGGGAAAACATAGCCATTCAGAAAAAGTCGAAGGAGAATACATTGGGGATGGGTGCAGAGGGAGCAAGAGTCTGTTCCCCCCCCTCGTGGGTTCCCCCCACCCCAACCCCCCTCCCACCGTTCCCTCGCCTAACTTCCAACTCCTCACGAATACAAGTCTACTGTACGTCAACCCGGCGGAATCTGCTCCTTGCCTCGTAGACGCGTACAGCTCCCTCTCTCTGCTCAGTGTACATGAGGTGTTTTGTGCTTTTTGGCAGTAACCAGCAGCAAAGCGCGGGCTGCCGTACCTTTTAGGTCTAGACTGTACGACACATCGCCAAGATTGGTGTTTCGGCGCTTTGATTGTTGTGCATTACTAATCTGGTCGGCTTTTTATCCAGCAACATTTCTTGTGATTCCTTTGGCTGGCACGGATGCTGCCAAATCTGTGTTCGCAAATATATTATCGGCGACGTACGAAATTGCGGGAGGGGTTTGGGGGATATGGAGAGTGGGGGTTGAGGGCGTTCGGTATCGGGGGGGTGTACTCATAGTCGTGCATTCCGTAGTCGTTAGACCTTTGACCATGACGATGCATACGAGCAGGGGGGCTATTCGATATACTCGTAGCATAGCATGGGGGTGGTATATTGCGTATACATATGCGGGATTTGCAGTGACGAACTACGGAGGAACAAGAAGTTTCTTTATATTTTCCTTGGGAGTGTGGTAGATTGGTGGACATTCATGGAGATTCGTTTTGGGTGTTTGAGCGTTGTGCGTGACTTGATGCCATGATGGAATGACGAGTTCAAGCACGCCCCCAATTAATACAACACGTTTACAACAAGTTTTTCCACACGTCTGTACGACTTTACCTACCCCTACGGCCCGTCATGGCCGAGCTGCTCTACACTCCCATCACACACAACTGAGCCACCCGAATAATCGAACAGACCTCGCATTCCTACAAAGCCGGGACGGAGCACGTCGGGTTTTCACCGGACCAGGCTGTCACATCACCAAGCGCGAAGCGCTGTGAGGTATTCGGCGAGTCGCATGGAGGGTGCGCTGCATGCTGCTAAAGGTGTTTGGCATCTTGAGCTTACTTCCTTGCAGCCGATGATAGCTGCGGATGACTTCATCGATATTCTGGTGCTTTCACTTCCAGAGACAGTTGTAAGCACTGTGTAACTGCCTCGAGGGTGCTTGGCCATTTTAACACAACGTGGTGCGTTCATCCCCTTGGCGCGGAGGGAGGGTTCTCGACCCCACCCAACATAGTCTACTCGACCACCATTTGTGCTTACCGCAAAAAAAACACGGAATAATAAAAAGGTAACATGGTTGTCGAGCTCACGAAGCGAGCGGCTTGTTGTACAACGTCGCTGCCAAGCGACGAAAAACAACCCCGATAGCACACACCGCCGGGGGAGTTGGGGATGGGGGGTTGAGATTTAATGACCATTCAATTCAACCCAGAATAAAAAAATACGTCAAGAGTATCCGCGTGGGTCAGCAAACCCCTTCGTCTGCATGCGAGTCTTGCCTGGCTAGGATCTCGAGGGAAGGTACTTCGTCGACGGCTGCCCTCTTGCACAAGCGACTCGTCCGCGACGATATGGCGACACATGGAGACGAAACCCAAAATCGATACCAGCATGTCGAACCAAGGCTCTCTCGTGAGAAACGCGCCTTCGAATCTATCCTCCCCGTCAGACAAGCTCCAAGTCACACCTCCAGTCATCGAACCATCAAGAATCTCCAGGATACGGACAAGGTGAACGCTGTCTGCGGAAGTGACGCAACGCTCCACGATGTCAATCCTCTTCATGGCTTTGACTTTGTTGCGGCCGAAAGCGCCTGCAATAATACGCAGCGGAGTAGAAGTCAGGAATATGGAGGCATTCTCAAGACACCTAAGCCACCTGTGCTGTTGGCTCAAGAACCAACGCTACAATAGTCAACGTGATATTATTTGTACATGAACCTAAGGCGTAGAAACAAACAAACAATTTTTGTTTTTGTTCGGGTTGAACCCCGATCGTCGGGAAGGCTCTTCCCTGGAAGAGCATCAAGCTTCATCCCCTATAACGCGAGCATTGACACGACTAAGGACAAATACTCGCCGTTCATGACGTCCACGTGATCGTCCATCTCGCGCGCCAACTCCGCGTAGCAAGCTATCTCGGCGTTCGGCGAGTAGCCTCTCGCCACCAGCTTTGCGTTCGCGTTGTTGCAGGCCCGCACCGCACTGCAAGACAGGATCTTCAACAGCAGAATCATGGCAGACGGCATCGGGCGGTAAGAATACCTTTGGCGTAAGTCCAAAATCGCCGTGTATACCTTAGGCGATCTCGAATCTTCTTTATAGACCATGGAGTGGCGATGGCTTTGGGCAAAACTAAGGAATTCTGGGTCAACCGGATTTCGGCGCAAGGACATGGCATGCTTTACTGTGGATAGAGGGGGGCGAGGGTGTGTGTGTGTGGGGGGAAGTCACCCCCAATATGGTTCAATTTCGTGCAGGAATAAAAGAAAAAAAAACACACACCCCAACTTAGGCCAACAAAAACAAGAATAAATAATCAACATCCCAAGAGTTCCTAGAAGGAAATATCGACTACCCGACACGTGTAAATTTACCTACACCGACCTCAAGGGATCCAGCAGTTTTGTCGTAAACTGCGTCAGGCCCGAATCGACGCCCTTCCTCTATCCACCAGGTCTGCACCTGTCTATGCCGGTAAGCGGTAATGCCCACACGAGTGCCCGGTCTATGATGCAACTCGATGAAAAGATAACCGGACGTTTATCTTCGGACACAGCAGTGCCGGCGTGTCCATAGTGGGCTGGGAGGGTGCCAACAGCGCTGTCCGAGTCCTGGAACGAACGACGGGCGGTTCACACGCATATGCAAAAAGACCCAAGGTTAACCTCTACATAGCAGTTCTGGTACCTAAAGGACTCAACGCTGCATTTTTTTTTTTCGATCACATCCCGGCAGTGGGAAAAAATAACATGCCACAACGCCTCACGTACCTCCTTCGGGTATTCCTTCATAGGTGCTGGCGATGGTATTTTTTGTTCACGCTTTGCCCTCTGTCGTTCTTCCCGACCCACGGAGGACGTAGGGGATGCAAGGAACGAGTGGCACCAGCCCGAGGGGGAGTTGCATCCATCCCTTCAAGCAAGGGATTCGGACTGTGGCACGGGTACGGAACACAGACGGTTGCTGAGGTCTAGAGTACAGCCCAACCGAACCTTCAGGGAAAGGATATGATTCAACTCAGAATGCTTTTAATAGGCGAGGAGCATGTATTTGAGGTTTCGCCCGTATGTGTAAGCATCTCCAATGCCTGCAAGAAAAATAGTACCGTACGTCGTGCAGCTGATGTTGGGCTGTCGACGCTCGGTGGGGAGGGGCGGAAGGACTTCCGTGCACGCCCATCGACTCCCGGTTTCCTTCACACAGCATTCTCGTGAATCCACCACTATTCGAAGACAAATTCCGTTCCGTAGCACGCGTGTAGTGACGGTCAATGCCGAAGGGGTTCAAGTCCATCTTCGCCATCTTGTCTGATAAGCTTACTACCACCGGAGGCCGTGCAACCATTAAGCTCAAGCTCGATGCGCCTTGTTCCTACTCGTGGCACGCCGAATTTTTTAGTACATGCACATCATCCTTCAATCCACGGGGAGTAAATCTAGATTCTGAGCTCTATTTAAGAAAGGGAAACTTGTACGGAGCTCTGGGGATGCTCTAGCACGGACAACCAGATCGATCTCTCAGAAAACGTCGTGGGGTTGGGGGCATTTCGAGTCTACGAGGCGCGAGAGGCGTAGGGTGGTACGCTGTTCGTCATACAAGGCAGGCACATATACCACCATCAATTGAAGAGTACTTCATGATCTTGGCGTATTTTAACAAACGGAAACCTCTGCAGAGGTCTCAACTAAAATGGGCAGCACATCCTGCAGTAGCGCTACATTATGTATCGCACATGAGAAGAACGGAGACTTGACGGCGGGCAACAGGCTCTCAAGGGGAGCTTGGTCGCAAACACATGTATAGAAGGAACCTGTGATTTTCTCTACATGGACTGACCTCTGAGCAGCTTTGACGCTGCACCAGCCCAGACAAGTGGCATGAGCAAGGGATACGTCCACCTATCGGCGCGCCGGGGGCAGGGAGGGGGGTGGGCGGACTGTTCTCCTGGTAGAAACGAGCATCATCGAATGCAGGTCCGTCTGACGACGCCACATGCGGCGGATCCCCGAACACGGGGTCAAAGGGGACGGTTCTTATCCTCCCCTGTGCGCCTCCTATCTTTTTTATTTAATCTCTTTTTGTTTTTTTTTTTTATTTTTCCAAATACAACACAACGAGTCCATCTCCGTCAGAGAAAAGAGTCAAAGACAGATTAGCAATGGAATCATAGCGTCAAAGAAAACTACCTGTTGTGTGTCCACGATTTCCCAGACAGCATATATGGACATCTCCCCTGCGGATAACAGGCTCAACAAGACAGTTTGGTAGCTGTGTTGTGTGTCTTATATATGTTATGTTGGGAAGGTGTAGACGAAAAGTGTTGGGCTGTTAGTTAGTCGGGTGTTTTATGTGTGGCACCCTGTTGGTTGTGGATCTCCATCCATTTTACACGTGTATTTCCAGTTTGGTATGCATTTAACGCGAGGAATATGATTTGGTAAGTAATTGAGTTTGGTATGCATATGCATGCATCTGTGTCAAATTGTGCGGCACACGGGAGTGGTCTCCCAGTTTTGTGTAATTTCATGCCCATAAATGTGCGAAGGGCACGGGAGAACATTCTTTCATCATTGCCTCCTGACGTGGTCGGTCGTAGGTAAGGCGTGTGGTTGAGGTTCCATCACCGATATGTGGGTGTTCGTGTGTTCAAATGTAATGGGTTGGTCATCTCTCTCGTCCGTGTGTAGGCAGGGAGTATGGTTATATCTCTCCCCTCAGTGGGCAGCACAGACCATATGTAAAGAAGAGTTGATCATTTCGTGCATAATACATCATTTATGTTTGGCACGACAGGAGGAATGAGATTTAGTTGTTCTGACATTTTGACGGTGTACGTGGGTACGGAAAGTACTCCCTGTGTCCGTGATGTTCCCTGATGTTGTCGCATCGAGTGGCAGCATGTGCCAAGGACAGGTAGACGTGGAAGGACGGCGACAGGTGAAGGGCAGCAGTAGTAGTGTGTTGTGCATGGTGGCTTGTTGGCTTGTACAGAGACTTTTGTTTGTATCATGTATCCCTTTGGCATGCACGATGCGGCGGGACTTCGCATGGTACGTCAGACGTCAGACCAGACGTTTCCGAGACACGTCAAGTATGAAGTTTCAAGTTTTCACGAACGCAACGAAGCTGACTTGCCGCTCATAAAGCTAGAGTACCAAGCCGACGACATGGAAGACGGAGAAGAAGATCTCGCGGTGTTGATGCTGCGCAACCGCACGGCGTTCGAGAAGCTGGCGGGCCACTCACCAAACGATGAAAAGCCTTCAGGTGCGAAAAATACTAAATTTGGGATGCATAGAATAGTACAACGCAAACAGAGAGAGATCCATGCAACACGTTCGTTGCAAAGGCGGGTATGGCGTTGACCGACCTTACGCCGTTACGATCGCGCATGAATGCCGCCATTCTCTCGCGCCGCATGTTAACGCCATGGTCCGGTATTGGTAGGTGGCAGCCCTACCAGAAGAAAACATTTAAGCGGAGGATGTGATGGCGTCGTCGACGAAATCGATAGCAAGAAGCCGAAGGTCGAAGACTCGAAGGAAGATATAACTTCGGCGGGTAGACCCGAAGAAGGTACTGCTGTATCTTGTAACATCTGGGGTAGTATCACATCTCTCTCACATCTACCCCCCGACATTGGCATAGGTGAATTGGCTGCAGCTCCTTCACTGCCTACGCGGTTTAGTTACGTGAAAAAATACCGAGTTGAGTCGTCGAATGAATAAGGATCCGACGTCGGCAATGTCAGCAACGGCTGTCGGCGGGTAGACTCGAAGAAGGTATCTTGAAAACATCGTGGGAGGCATCTCTCTCATATCTACCCCCCGACATTAGCATAGGTGAATTGGCTGCAGCTTCTCTACAACAGACGCGGTTTGATTTCGTGAAAAACTGCCGAGTTGAGTCGTCGAAGGAAGATTCGACGGCGACACACGATGATAATCAGCAGCAGCAGCGGTCGGCTGGTAGACTCAAGCAGGCACCTTGTAACATCAGGGACGGGATCTATCAAATGTCTGGCCCCCAACACTTGAGTAGATGGATTGGTTGCAGCTCCTTGTACTGTAGGCGTGGTTCAAGTCGAAAAAATACCTCAACGTGTGTTGTGTTGCTCAGTCCTGTATGAAGAATGCCTTGTTCTGCCTGACGCGGACGCCTTCCTTCGGTGGCGCTTTAATGAACCCAAGAGAAAATAAAGGGGACCCAGGCGATCAACACGAACATGTCGACTTTCTTTGCCCTGCCATACGTTGTAGTTCGTGTACTACTTCAGCTGAGCAGATAGATCAACATGCATACACTTTCCTAAAAGTCAACGTGTTTGGCGATATTGGCGTATCCTTGCCGGTAAAGTCACCCTACAAACAAACGCTGGTGCACTCGAGACGTTCACCAGGTAGAATCCACGGCGGCAAAGGAGAGTAGCTCCGTGCTCCGCATCGTACTATAAACGTCTTCATCATCATTGCCATGGCCCCTTTCAGGCCGAGAGTTGGCGTGCCTCTGTCGCCTTTGGTGTTCATCACGACTCTACGGGTGCGGACAAATACATGCGTGTTAGGTCTACGCAGCAAGCATTATGAAGCAGGTAATATTTATGTCCGCGCAGCAAACCTTTAACTCTCATCAGAATCCACCCGTGATGTCGATTGTGAAATGCCACCACTACATACGGAGTTCATATCTGTTGTTCCTGCTGTTGCTGTCGCTTTTCGTTTTCGTAGGTTCCACTTGAAGGCTGTGCCTTGGACCGTTATCCTGCGCTCCAGGGAGCCTGCGCCCGGAAACAATTGTGATTCCATGGGCACGATTGTACGTAAATAAGGAGAATAGGTACACCAGTCGGAATCTCGTTTCTGCGTCATCGCGTGCGAGAGACAACACGAGTATCCTGGCATGATTGTTTTTCGATGAATGCACCCCGCCACGGCTCCTCTGGCCTCTGCTACTACTGCTGTTTTGTGAAGCAATGAATGCGTGTTTTGTTCATGGCGCGAGTGGCGCTGCTCCGCCCGTCGATATTCTTCTGCAATGGCGGCATTGACGGCCGGGTGCAACAACAACAACAGCGGCAGCAGCAGTCGGATATGACGACCACCCCGCGCCTTACAGGGGAAGGCAAGCACTGTTTCCTCGTTTCGGGTTGTTTCTTAAGGGAAATATCTTGGCACGAGAGATGAGTCAAATACTTCGAACACTCTGGGCCTGCCCTACCTCAAGACATGACACAGCAGAGGTTGACGTCATAGAGGAAACTCCGCACGGTTTTGTACAAGCTCTGGGTCTGATCCACAGGCATGGCACAGCAGCTGCCAAACAAAGTCCGCAAGCTCTTCTCTTCTTGTGATCTGCCGCTGTATGGCTCCACATCATAACTAAACGTTTATTTCGTTCTCACCGCCAGCACGGGAGGCAGCAGCAGGCTTTTTCGCCTTTGGCGGGGGGGCGGGGGGGCCTGCCCTTCGCCCCTTCTGTCATTTAGCGGCCTCCAAGGTCAAAACTAAAAGGTCGGGATCTCCTTCATGAAGGGTAGCATCATCTCGAGGACCAAAATCCCTCATTTCACGAAACCGGTCTCTCTTATCTGCACCCGTGTATACCGCAGGTTGCACAAGATATCACACACCCCTGGACCCACTAACAAAGCTCGATTACTCCACGGAGAGGTTGCCGAAATTAAATACATGTTTTCGGAAAGCTCTTGACGCGACGGCTCCAACACAACCAATTTTCGGCCCCGTCACTGCTTTTCCTTCCGAGCTTCGAAAATCGGTCCAGGGGGTGTGATATCCTACGCAACCTTTGGTAGGCCCGGGCGACGAGCGCTGACTCGTAGACTACTGTGTGGGGCCACGCTCCCACAACCCTTCCCTGTTGTGTTAAAAAACAACGTCGCTTGTGCGAAAGTGTAACCCAGGGCGACTTAACATCTTTCAGAACTAACGCACCTTCCAATGCTTTCCACAACGTCTAACGTTTTTCTTTTGTCCGGTTTGCCTGCACCACGAAGAGCCACAAAAAACATCAACAGTTATCAAAATCGGCTTCGTGTTGTACTTGAGACAGAGAGAGAGGGGAGGGGGGGCAATCAGCGACGCTATTCCTTGCGCGGCTTCAAACCACTACACCATAGCTCCAAATATAGACAGTAGAGCATTGTCCAACGTACTCTCTTGACGCAGCTTTGCGCTGGTGGTTACCGACTCCTCTACTGAAATATGATAGTGGTGAAATTGCTGCAACAAACCGCAACCGCCCACCACGACCGCCACCTGGCGCTTCCGTGCTGCACAGGCGACAACGTTAACATTCGATTCTGTTGTGGGGGTTGATCGGCCCGAGACGACGACTTCGTGCCACAGGCCTGCTTCTCAACACAGTTTTCATCCACTTCCACGCAAACACCCCACCCCTCCAAAATGTGAAAAAATGTCGTCCCAACCTGCACGCTATTTCAAACCCTTCTCTCTCCCTCTCCCTCCCTCCCTCCCTCCCTCTCTCTATAGAAACTTTGGGAAGCACCAACGTCTGGTGCCTTGGCCTTGGTAACCTACAGCAACATTTGTACCATGCAACAATCGTCCTAAGGGCCAGCAACGATCATGCCAGCCAATGCGATCATGCCAGCCAATGCTGCTGCAACCGCACAAACACACACGAGCGTCCAACTCAATACAAGCAGAGGTATCGATCTGGGAGTGGTCAACTTCGTCCTAACATGCCTATCATACGATTTACCCCGTTGTTCTCGTGTGGTCCCGTCTACAAACTCAAATACAGTGGAGATTCCGTCCAAACATTGGACCGCCTTCGAAAGAAAATGAGTTTATAAGGACATTGAACGTGGACGGGGTACGCAGACCCTAAGTTACCCTACAACCCAAACCCAACTTCGCCGAATTCATGCTTTATCCAACATGTTTTATAAATAGAAAATCCTGCGAAGGCTACTGTCCAACAATACACGCCACGTTCTCTAATTCAACCGGCTTCAAGGCGTCGCCAATCTACAAACGCCGAACAAGGGGAATCCGCCCAAACTGCACGTCACTTGCTCTAGCACGACCGCCTCTCCTCAAGACGTCGTGCGCAGGCGCTGCTACTGCTACAACACCAGCGCGCCCCTGCCCTCCACATCCAGGGGCTCCGCCCTGTAGAAGGCGGCGTACACCCCAGCCCCGATCAGGTACACCGCCGCGCAGGACTGTTGGATAGGGGCGGGGACCACAAAACAAGGACAAGGGTTGGTTTAATATGATTGTGTCCGGGTGGGGCGGTGGTGCTCATGTAAACGCAAGTCGTAGTCAGTAGACCAATTTGGGGCAGGGAACCGACCAAAAAAAAAAGGCACGTTGTGTTGATGATTGTGTCGGGTTATTGACCTCGCATGCTGCGATGCCGGGCTCTCGCTGGCCCAGGCTACGTTTCAATGAACCAGAAGCTATTCATCATCCTTGCCATTGCTGTGTCAAACCACGGGGTTTGACCATTATAAGTAGGCACCCGGCGAACCAAGCGTTTCACGTTCGGCCGGCACGACTGCCGTATGTGACACAAGATAACACACCCCCTTGACCAATTTTCGAAGCTCGATTTCTCAACTGCAGGAACATTCACAGCGCCGACAACGGCGGCGTTGAAAACGTCTCGTCGAGAGCTTTTCGAAAATGTATCGTTTCGTTGATGCATCCTCTTCGTCGTGGTGTAATCGAGCTTTGAAAATCGGTCCAGGGGGTGTGTTATCTTGTGTCATATAAGGTTCACTTCCTTGTACCACAAGGAAATTCGATCCTTGTGCCTTCGAGCAAAGAAAGCAACAACAACCGCAATCACAACAGTAGTAGTATACAACAACATTACCCGAACGTTTCACACGGATACTAAAGCACCAGCAACAACAAAGACAGCAAATGCAGCGTACAACAACGTTACCCGGACATTTCCCATCGTTACCACAGCAGCAACAACAACACACGAAAATGTCACACGAGGCACGACACCAGCAACAATACCAACAAAAACAACCCCAACCCCAACAGCATATCGCACCGATAAGGAGGAGTTGGACCTGGGACGGACGACCATCGTTTCGCACTACTCGCCCGCATCATGACAAAAACACCTCAAAAAACGATAACGAGAATCTCTCAGCCACGGTTGCCCGAGTCCAAGCTGCGCTGCCAGTTCACTCCACACCGATACAAATGAGGAGTTGGACCGCCTTCGCGAGTGAACAAGTTTACGAGTACATAGAACAGGGAAGGCGCTGACCCTGCAATCCCTAAACCCATTCTTCATTCCTCAATTGCATGCTTTATCCAACAGTCTTGTTGATGGTAAACCCTCATGAAGGAGTTGGACCTCATCTCTGACCCATCTTCGCTCTTCCCCTGTTGCATTCTTTATCCAATATGGTTCCTTCATAGAAAAAAAACTTCTCAGGGGATTGGACCTTATCTCTAACACATCTTCCCCTATTGCATGCTTCATCCAATACTCCGAAGGAGGTGGACCTCACCTGAAAGACCATAGTCCACGAGTCCGTCGTGTCGAGGATAACCCCAGCCCCGTAGGTGCCCACGCTGCCCCAAACGGCCGATGCCGCCGAGGTCATGCCGTAGATCACGCCGGTGTCCTTGAAAAACGCGCGACAGACAGCCGGGGGTGGGGGGGGGGGGAATGGTCCTCTTCTTCATGAGTGATTCCGCACATTATTGAACATTCAAAACAACCCCGTGCCATGACCAAGTACACAGACAGCTGGTACCTCGATGTGTAAGGAACAGCTGGTACGCCACGCTGTGCCTCACAAATCGCAACACGCCCATCCACGTTGAAAGCAAGGAGATAATGGTGAAACAAGGGACACCAACTTGTTGGCACATACTGAGCGCAACGCAGGATGCCGTAAGAAGGGGACAAATGGCACCCCCACACACACAGGCAGACGTTCACAGATCGATTGCTCCATAGCCAAGGGGGTGCGAAAAGAGGAATGAACCCGATGCGAGCCCTCGACGATGTGTTTCCAAAACGTTGGTTTTGGAATCCAAAACCAAAATCCAAAACCAACAAGACATTTTTTTGGAACAAGTGTTTGGTTTAAGGAGCAATCGAGATTGATAATCGGCTTTAGGAGGGTGTTCCACCTCTCTGCCTCTTGCGGTAGAGGTGTCTCCGAGGCACGGGTGGCTCCTTTCAACGCCAACACGCAAGCACCACGGGGGGCATCATTCTGGGCTCAAGTTGACCACGGCACAGTGATGTCGGCTACGGCGCTACCGTAGCTAGCCGCAACGGAACCCGGCCGCAAGTAATATTTGGTTTAACGAAAGACAATGCGACAAACGTAATCCAAGGGGCAACCCAACGGGGCTCCGCGGAATATTAGACCCCCCGCTTTCACGGAACATCGGCACAAAGCAGTCGTGCTTAACGCTTGAGGCTTGACATGATTTGCGCTGTTCATACGGGCGACGGCACGGCGTTCATTTCCACGGCGCACGCCTTCAAGAGCACGACGAAGTGGTGCCAGGGTGTGCCGAACAGCCCCCAGGACCTCAATGCGCAGCGCGAGAGGGCGTAGCACCGAGGCGTTGGTTGTGGCTTCTCCTTCTCTCTTCTCCTCCTCTCCCGCAAAACGCAAAAGAGACAACTAGCGCAAAAGAAAAAAAAAATTGCACAAGATTCTAGTCGCCAGAGAAAAACGTGTGCATGTCATCTCTGCATGTCGTCGTCTTGAAGGAGGCGTTTCTCTCGACACGACACCGTCGTTTCTAACACAGTACTGGGTTTTTGCCCACCAACGATGAGCGCTTCGAAAAGCAGCACTGTCTCCTTCTGTCTGTTTGTCTGTCTGCCTCCCGCTGTCTCTCTCTGTCTCCCTCTCCCTCTCTGTCGCTCTCACCCTCTCTTGTCCATCTCTCTCTGTTTCTATCTCTGTCTCACCCGCGATCGCAAGTCTTGCACCGAAGACCCGAAACCCGCGCACGAGCACGAGCCCAGCGCGACCGCGGCGGTGAACAGCTTAGAAGCCTCCGCAGAGGTTTCCGGCCCCTGCATGCCGGGGGCGAGCAACGAGGGAGGGACCATGTGGAGAAAACCATCAAAAATACCTACGAATAGAAGGAAAATGTCCACGCATAACGATCGGGTAGGGTTGTAGATCGGAGAGCAAACACGTCTCAGGCAACATGTACGTCCAGGAGAGCCTTCGGTTCGCCGCAGTTGGAGGCATCACGTTTGCCAAACAGCATTTTGCTATGAATACGCTGGTGTGCAGCCCCCTTCTGTGTATGCCCTCTGGCGCGTCCTAAAACATAGCTACCGCAAGGTTTAGAAACCGGTGTCGACAAAATGGGATGAAAACAACAACAACAACAACAACAACAACAACAACAACAACAACAAGCACAACTTCAGTACTCAGCGCAGGGAGGAAGAAGCTGACCCTCCTCCAAACCGTAAAAAACAAGGCAATGTAAACATGAAAATACCTGCGCAAGCAGAAGCATGCAAACCGCCGGACCCACGAGCGCGACGGTCTGGAAGAGCTTTCGAACCCATTTCACTTCGAGCATGCCCTGCTTGCGGCAGGGGGAGAGAGAGTGGGGGGCGAGGGAGAGAGGGGGGAGGGAAGGAGACAGAGAGACAGGGAGAAAGACAGGGAGAAAAGCAGAGAGAAACAGAGAGATAGAGATACAGAGAGAGAGCGAGAGACAAACAGTCAGACAGAAACAGAGAGACAGACAGAGAGACACGAAGACAGAGAGAGACAAAGACAGAGAGACAGATAGACAGAGAGACACACAGAGAGACACAGAGAGAGAGGGAGAAAGACGGACAGACAGACAGACAGACAGACAGACAGACAGACAGACAGACAGCAAGGGAGGTTGTGCCGGAACGAGTATTGGCTCACGGACTTGAGGTGGATGGACATGCAAGGAGGCTGGCTGCCCAGAAAAAGTGTTTGGGTTTCGTTTTGCAACCACAAGCCGTCCACGAGGTGTCGACCACACAATTTTCCGGCTTAACTCCAACCGACCCCGCTTTGCAGGATTACGTCGCATGTCTTCTTTAATTTCAAGACACTACACTAGCCTACATTAATTTCAAGACAATACCAGCACAACGCAACCTTTCTCTGCTCTCCTCCAGGACATACATTGACGTCGCTAAGGTGATTGCCGCAACTCCACCCAAAGGCGATCTTCAGTCGGCAGTCGTGGGCGCTCTAATGGGTGGGTATGCGCCAGGCCGCCCTACCCAACCTGTACAAAACATACCATTTGAGTATCCCCTGCGTTGCCATGCGATTTCTCCTCCCTGATCTACGTCGGTTACCCCACTCTGGACAACCCGCCCCAAATGCCATAAAGGGATCCACGGTTATCCAGACCTCCCTGGTAAACCCAAGGGTCGTCACAGATAGTTGATGGTATGGTACTACTACCCCCC